GCAGGTCGATGTCTTACTACATGGTTCGATGACCATGCGCGCGGCCTCCACAAGGTGGCACTGTGATTCAACGTCAGGGGCCGGGGGAGGATCGCACTCCCTCTGCGTCGCTCTCCACCACGCGCTCTCCAGGCGGCCTGGCCGAATGGCAGTAAGATTCGACGCCGGAGGAGGGAACCACGAGCGCGGCAAAGGCAAACAGAAAGATACCGAAGTCTATGGCACCGATGACGATGACGTTGATCACGATCGCGAGGGCAAAGCGGGCCGTCGATAAGATGTTCTGAAACCGCGACGCACGTGTAAGTGCGTGATACATGCACAAGAAGAACCCCATCTGCGACACTGAAACCTGCAATCGGGTAGCCGTTTTGCACTTAGTTCTTCTGCTGCATGCAAATGCCGCCTACGTCGCTCACTTGGGGTCTCCACATTGATGAAGCCAGCGCAGGTCCTCGGGATAGCCACTCCATATTAGCTCGCAACTCGCCTCGCGACTTCAAATGCGCACTCGTGGAAACGGCACGTTTCTCCAAATCACCTATTCGGACAAGCGCGGAGAGGACCGAGGAGGAGGAGGAGGAGGAGAAAGCATAGGAGAAGAAGAAGCTGGAGGATTAGGCAGAGGAGAGCTTGAAAGAAACGCACGTACCACTGGCGGGCCCTTGTTGGCAAGTCGCTGAAAGATCACTGCGAAGACCGATTGCTTCGTTCGCGGAAAACGCTGACAATCGGCTTCGGGCCAGGGACGTCAATCTATACAATGTCGATGTGTTTCGTGGTGCGCAATCGTATCGAGGACAGCAACTCTGGCACGACTTATCTCAGCTCCAGCTTCATCAGGTTCGGCCCAGCATCTCAAGCGAGGCATTACACCGCTATGCTCGGGAGCGAACTCGCCGCTGACAGAGCCTCCGCATTCGAACACTCCAAAATGAAATGGCATATCTGTTGTGACCCAAACCGTAACCAAAGTCTTGTGACGGGCCCGCGCCCGGGCCAGGGAGAAAAACGAGAGCACTGCCTAAAGCGCGGTCCAACGTCCCGAGAGAGCAGGCGAGATTGGAGATTGGGGGGCGGGGCACCAAAACGTAAGCCCCTCTCAATCGACTTTGCCAAAATTACCTGTTTAAGACCAATGCTGTAGAACCGGAAGATCTTTCGTGGGCGAAACGCTGGTGGCCTCTGACAGCACCTCCCGATGCGCTGACCTTCGGTGTTAGGTTGGCTCCAGCTCGAGTACCACCACTGCACGGCTATGGGGTCGACCAGCGCGCCTCTCGGAACGCGCCCCCCCCAAGCCCCAAGGACTGTCCAGGGCCCCCCCAACCCGCCCCTTGAGAGGCAAAGGCCGCAGCTCCCCACGCCGTCGGGACCTCGGACGCCTCGGAGAAGCTCAGGGGAGACTGGGGAGGAGCAGCTGAGCAGCGGGGCCAAGCAGAGAAAAACTCAGAGAGCAACCCCCGCTCTCTGCAGGGCAACGGCATATGGTGGGACTGGCTCATAGGGGGGAACATCAGCCTGGAATCGGCGACACGTAGCCGCTAGGCCGGCGATGCGAAAGGCCCCCGATAACGGATCCGCACACTCTTAGGCGGGGCGGCCTCTCTCCTATCTTCCCCCCATGACCCTATCTCCCTTCTTTTGATGCCCCGATCTTTCGGTGCTAAATCCAGCGGTCCGTCTGCCGTTCTGGACGATCCGGGCACCCCCGAAACGCCCTCGCCGAGGCGCACCTCCCGGAAGGCATCCCAAGGCTGGAAAACCAACGAGATATGACGAAACCGCCCGACAGCCTCAAACCACGAATCCAAACCCTAACGTTGCCCCCCCCTTCCCGCACACCTCCCCGCCCCTTCTTGCTCGGAGGGCGTCGCCCTCGGGGCCTTGCCCTTGGCCTTGGCGCCGTGGTCCCCCAGGCCCAACACCTCCGCCCGCGGCGGAGACGGCATGGAGTGGGGCGCAGCATGCAAGCTGGCACCTGGAGCGCTGCGCCCGGAGCCGGCATTGGGATCAAGTGTGGAGGGGCCTGGCGTCGGGGCACGCAGGGCCCCGCGTAGAGGGGTCTGGCGTGGATGGCCTGGCGTGGAGGGCCTGGCGCGGAGGGCCTGGCGTCGGGGTCAAGCGGGGGGAAGCCTGGCGTCGGCGCGCGCGATCTCGGCCTCGCCTGACCATGGAGGATGGAGTACGCACGAAAGTCTCCGGACATTCCCTCACACTGAATGACACCTGTTCCTACCAGCCCGCCTATCAGCAGTCTATGAAAATATGGATGATACTTATATGTGTGCCTATACATACACATGCGTCAGTAAACACATAGTCATGAATGTGTGTTTGTGTACGCATCACCGTATACGGATGAACACATTACCAATATACAAATTACATATACATGTACATATACGTATCCGTAAACAGTTACATAAGCATATGAGTATACATAGTCGAATACATATGCATGTACATGTACACGTACACCTAGAAATACGTGTGTACATACAACAGGTGCACAATCATATACATATACATATACATATACATACACATATACGTATATACATATATATATATATATATATATATATATATATATATCCGCCGGCCCCCTTGTGGGGCCACCAGGCTGTAGGCCCGTGATTCGCAGTTTCCTGTACCAGTTGTAGTTTGTAGTTTCCAGTGTTACAGTTCTGCTTCTTGCTGGTTACTGTAACTAGTTGATTGACCGCGCGAGGGGAGGGGAGGCCCAAACCAGATTTTTAGCACCACCTGGGCGCGTTGTCTGAATTGCTGGGGGGGCTCAAAATCGACACCCCTCACGCAGATCCGCGGGGTCAGGGTCCAAAAACACATGGGATTTGCCACATTTCTGAAATTCGGTGCCACCCCTCACGCAGATCCGCGGGGTCAGGGTCCAAAAACACAGGGGATTTGCCACATTTCTGAAATTCGGTGCCACCCCTCACGCAGATCCGCTGGGTCAGGGTCCAAAAACAAAGGGGATTTGCCACATTTCTGAAATTCGGTGCCACCCCTCACGCAGATCCGCGGGGTTAGGGTCCAAAAACACACGGGATTTGCCACATTTCTGAAATTCGGTGCCACCCCTCACGCAGATCCGCGGGGTCAGGGTCCAAAAACAAAGGGGATTTGCCACATTTCTGAAATTCGGTGCCACCCCTCACGCAGATCCGCGGGGTCAGGGTCCAAAACCTGCTCTTCCATTGCCCATTCTCCGAGAGAGGGGGCCGGCGGCAGGGGGCGAAGCCCTTACGGATATATACAGATGCATATGCATATGCATATACATATACATATACATATACATATACACACACATATCCATATACATACACATATACATATACATAGGCATATACATATACATATACATATACATATGCATAAGCGAATACATAAACTTACATACATACATGTACACATACATATACAAACACATATATATATATATATATGTACGTACACATATACATATGCATAAACATATACATATGCATATACATAAACATGTACATATACAAACATATATATATGTACATATACAAATACATATACATATACATATACATGTACATATACATAACGATGTATACATATACATATACATATAGATAAGCACATGTAGAATTACATATACACATGCGTAGACATACGCATGCATATACGTATACGTATATGTATACATGTACGTATACGTATGCAGATACAGATGCATATGCAAGTACGTACACATGTACAGATACATGAACGTAGACATGTAACTATACATATTCATATAATGATGCAACTACATGTACGTATGCGTATGCATCTACAAATATGTGTAGAACAAGAAACAGGGATGTACAGTTACATAAATGTAGAACTATAAGTAAACATAGACATGCCTGTTTTACATACAATAGTACATCTACATGTACACAAACATATACATGAGCGAACGTGGACCCCAAACCGTCAGTTATTGCAGTATATGCGGTGCAAACAACGTGGTTTATGTATGTGGTGCAAACCACGTAATGCAACCTATGCGGTGCAATGTACACGGTGCAACCTATGTGATGCGATTCACTTGCCGAACCTGAAGTTGTCAACCCCACTGTTCGCGCAATCATCCCACCCACCCACCCGCAACTTGGTTTGCAAAACCCATGCGCCACCGATTGCGATGAGTGCTGGGTACTGGCTGGTGCATCTCTGCGGCCGCGCTAGCCCGCGCATGCTCGCGCGAGCAGCGGCCAGCTAGTTTGGCGCGACCGACGCGAACGCGGTGGCGCTGACCGCTCGGCGCATCCCAGCGCACACTGCAGTGCGAGTCGGCGACTTGGGCGGGCGCGGTATCATGGCAACGTCGACAACGGTAGACACGATGATGACAGTAGCGATGCTGGTGACGATGCTGACAGCGACGACGGGGCAGCCAGTGACGGCGCCGATGCTAATCACGCCGACGACGATGACGGCGTCTTCGCGTCGGTGATGGAGGTTTTGGACGGAATTCGAAATGCGCGCGCGGCAATCGCGCGAGTGGGGTTCGCATGGTACTATTTGAAAAGGATCGTGCCACCCCACCACGCGCGCAAGGGTTCGAACGATTTCGACATGCGCGCGCGCGAAGCCCGTTTGGTAGCATTATGTGAAAGTGTTGAAAACTTATGGTTTTCTTCAGCATTCGCAAGAGCGCGCGCACGCTTTTGTTGAAACTCCGTGTTGCGAAGCCGTATGTTTTATGTGCTTTGGACACTCGATTTTGAAATCCCTCCGAAACCGAAGGTTTTTGAAGGATTTTGGCATGCGCGCGCGATGACGCGCGCGTGTGCACTTCGTCCCGTTCTCTTGTAAGACGAGTGCGCGCGCATAGTATCTTTTGCCATGGATGGCGAGGGGTACCCATACCGGCCTGGCACAGGTAGGATGGACATTGGGTCAGAAACATATGTGTTTTGCATCGGTTCCTGGGGAGTCGATAAATCCGGGGGGGAGGGTGATCTGTTTTTTTTAAGAAAGGGGAATCTACGAAAAGCAGCCTACGTCATGCAATATATGCGGTGTAGTCTATGTGGTGTACTTAATTTCTGTTCGCAATGACTTGTCCACTCCACTGCTCGCGCAAACATCCCACCCACCCACCCGCAACTTGGTTTGCAAAATCTCTGAAGACCGTGACGGTGGGTACCAAATGGCACTTGGCAACGACAGCGACGCCGACGACGACAGCGACGACGACGACGACGCCGCCGACAACGACTACGATGACACCGACGCCGTCTCCAACGACTTCGACGACGCCGACAACGACGACAACGACGACAACGACGACGACACCGACGACGACGACGACGACGACGACGACGACGACGACGCCGACGCCGACGACGACGACGACGACGACGATGACAACGACGACAACGATGACGACGCTGACGACGACGACAACGACGACACCGACGACGACGACAACGACGACGACGACGACGTCAACGACGCCGAAGACGACGACGACGCCGCCGACGTCGACGACGACGACGACGACGACGACGACGACGACGACGCCGACACCGACGCCGACGACGACGACGAAGACGACGACGACGTCGCCAACGAAGACGACGACGAGGGAGGAGGGAGGACGACGACGGCGACAACGACGACAACGACGAGGGAGGAGGGAGGACGGCGACGACGCGAACGACGAAGAAGGAGGAAGGACGGCGACGCCGACGACAAACGACGAGGGAGGAGGGAAGTCGACGACGACGACAAACGACGACGACGACGACGACGACGAAATAGGAGGGACGACGACGAGACGCCGACGACGGACGACGACGACGACGAGGGAGGAGGAGGAAGGACGACCACGGCGACAACGACGACGGAAACGACCACGACGCCAAAGAGGACGACGACGACGAACACGAGGAAAGACAGAGGACGACGTAGGCGACGACGACGACGCGGGAGGAGAGAGGACGGCGACGACGACGACGACGACGACGACGACGACGACGACGACGCAAGAGCACGCGCGCGCGCGCACGCTTCTGTTGAAAATCCGTGTTGCAAAACCTTGTGTTCTTGTGGGTTTTTTGGACACACGATTTTGAAATCCCTCCGAAACCGATGGGTTTTGAAGGTTTTCGGCATACACGCGCGACGACGCCCGCGTCTGCACTTCGTTTCATGTTTTGCAGAGGATTCTCGCGACGGCACACGCGCAAGGGCCTTCGACAGATTTCGACATGCGCGCGCGAAGCCCGTTTAATAGCAATCTTGAAGAACCTACGGTTTTCTTAAGATTTCGCAAGAGCTCGCGCGGAAGCTTTTTTAGCAAATCGGTGTTGCGAAACCCTGTGTTTTCGTATGTGTTTTGGAAACTCGATTGCGAAATCCTTCCGGCACCGAAGGTTTTTGAAGGATTTCGGCATGCGCGCGCGACGACGCGCGCGTGTGCACTTGGTCCCATGTTTTGCAAGGGATTCGTGAAAAAGTGCGATGTTAGAACAGAAAATGTCACCGCATAGTGTTTTTTACAAGGGAACCTCAGGGGGGCCGATACCGGTTGGCCTGGGACATTGTGACTTCATACTTAGGATGGACATGTGGTCAGAATCATATCTGATTTACATATCCGAAAGGGGGGCGATAACGCCGGGAGGGGGGTAGATCCTATTCTGTTTTTAGAAAAGAGAATCTACGCGATGCAACCTACGCAAAACAATATATTCGGCGAAGCGATGCAATCTATGTGGTACCATTCACTTTGACTGTCTTGAAACTGTCCTCTCCACTGCTCGTGCAAACATCCCACCCTCCCACCCGCAACTTGGTCGCAAGACCTCTTAAGACCGTGACGGTGAGTAGCAAATCCACTTGGCAACGACACCGACGCCGACAACGACAGCGACAACGACGACGACGACGCCGACGACGACGACGACTACGACGACCACGGCGACAACGAGGACGGAAACGACAACGAGGCCAAAAAAGACGACGACAACGACGACGAGGAAAGACAGAGGACGACGACGGCGACGGCGACGACGACGAGGGAGGAGGGAGGACGGCGACGACGACGACGACGACGCAAGAGCGCGCGCGCACGCTTTTGATGAAACTCCGTGTTGCGAAACACTGTGTTTTTGTATGTCTGTTGGACACTCGATCTTGAAATCCTTCCGAAACCGGAGGTTTTTGAAAGACTTCGGCATGCGCGCGCGACGACGCGCGCGTGTGCACTTCGTCCCGTTTTTGTTGCAAGACGAGTGCGCGCGCATAGTATTATTTGCAGAGGATGGCGGGGGGTGCCCATACCGTGCCTGGCACAGGTAGGATGGACATTGGGTCAGAAACATATGTGTTTTGCATCGGTTCCTGGGGAGTCGATAAATCCGGGGGGGAGGGTGGTAGAACCTATATGTTGTTTTTTGTTTTTCATGTACGAAATGCAGCCTACGTCATGCAATCTATGCAGTGTAATCTATGTGGTCGTAAAGCCCATGGGGTCGTAGGACGCTGGGCAGTCGGGGGGCACGGGGCTCGTTGGTGGTCGTGGGGCTCGCAGGCGTCAAGGGGGTCGCGGGGCTTATGCGGCTCAAAAAGGTCGCAGGTCCTGTAGGGCTCGTAACGGGTCGCAGGGATCGTGGTGGGGCATCGGGTTCGTAGGAGCTCGTGGGCCTGACAGGGCTGACGGGGCTAGCCATCAGGTTCGTAGGGCTCATGTGGCTCATGGGCTCATGGGGCTCGTTGGAATCGTAGCGCCCATAGGGTTCGGGGATGTCGCAGGGCTAATAGGGCTCGCAGGGCTCGTGAAGCTCGGAGGGCTCATGGGGTTCGTAGGGCTCATAAGGCTCATGGGGGCAATGTCGCCCGTGGGGCTCGTAGGGCTCGTCGGGCTCATAGGGCTTGTAAGGTTCATGGAGCTCGGCAGGCTCCACAGGGTCATAAGGCTCGTAGATGCGGTTCCTGGGGCTCGTAGGGTCCATAGGGCTCGTAGGGCTTCTGAAGCTTATCAGGCTCGTGGGCGTCGTGGGGCTCGTGGGGCCGATCGGGCTCGTGGGGCTTGCAAGGATTATGGAGGCCGAGTGGAGTATAGAGCTCATAAGGCCTTGGGGGTTATGGATCTCACAGGGCTCACCAGAAGGTTGCGGTTTGCGGGGTGTCGGGGGGAGGTATTCATGGGGGTGGCGGAGGTCGGAAGGCTCTCGGGGTTGGGCTCATGTGGCCCATCAGGGGCTCACGGAGCTCGAAGGGGTCCTGGGGCTCGCTAGTGTGCACGGGACAGTGGTGGACAGTGGGGCTCATGGGGTTCGTAAGGGTGCGGGGCTGACAGGGCTCAGGGGGGTCCCAGGTTCGGAAGGCTCTTGGCCGAGGGGCGGTCGGAAGCTCCAGAGAGCGGGAAGATTGAACTGCATGGGAGATGTCGCAAAAACTGAAGGCTGAAGCGTTTGGGGCTCTCGTGGTGATACTTCAATAGTGGAAACAATTGGTTTTCAAAATGTTTGGTCTTTAGAAGCTCTGCGTGGCGAAGCCCCCGTCGCCACGCGTGCCCTCTGCGTGCCTGCGGGGGCGCCGCCACGTAGAAGTACTGGAGACCGAGCATTTGGGGCGTCGCTACTCACGCCCTCTGCGTGGCTGCGACCATTTGTTAAAACCCCAAAACCAATTAAATTCACGAATAAAGTATCCTGGGTCTGCCGTGCTGCCTCTTGGGGGCCTTCTGGGGCCGCCCTGAAGACATCTTGAAGGGATCCTTTGGCGCGCTCGGGCGGTCCTGGGCCAGCTCGGGAAGCGATCCGAGTCCCGCCAAGGGCGGTCGAAGAAGGCTGCGAGGGGCACCCAGAGCTCAAAATGCAAGATTCTGGCGATTGGAGCGCCTGGGGAGGAATATTCATGCGGGGGGGGCCCCGGGGGGGGGGGAATGTGTAGGGGCCCACACACACACAAATAAATACACACAAATAACAGGAATCCCCATATTTTTCCATATGTTCTGGGTTTCTATCTTCCCCCCCACTTCCCATGTTTCCCATATTTTCCTGGGAGTCGAAGATTAATTGTGTCTGTGTGTTGTTTCCCTCCTGAATATTATATGTAGAATCGTACTAGTGCAAGTTCGCGAGTGGGCCTCTCTTAAGGGCTTCTTGTGACCGTTTCGAAGCCCTCGTCGGGGCCTCTCGGGCCGTCTTGGCGCCATCTGGGGCCGCCTGGCCCCTCTATGCAATCTTGGGGGCCTCTTGGGCACTGGAGCCCCTCCAGGGGCGGCTTGGCGGCATCGTTGGGCTGTCGTGGGGCCTTCTTGGGGCGTCTGGGGCCCCTCCGGGGGCCCTCTTGGAGCGTCTTGGGGCTGTCTTCGGCTCCCCTTGAGCAATGCTGGGCCCTACTTGGGGCAGTCTTGGACGCGCATCGGGTCATGTTGGAGCGATCTGGTGGGTTTTTCGACGTTTCGGGCGCTCTGAAGGCCGAGAAGCGGAGCATGATGACATGTGGCCGAATATATATATATATATATATATATATATATATATATACACACACACATATATATATATATATATGCCTTCTGGGGGGCATCGTGGGAGCTTTGTCGGGGCCTTCTTGGGTCGTCTTGGGAAGCCGTTGGGTAGTCTACTGGTCATCTTGGGCCCGTCGTGGGCCATCTTGGGCCGACTTCGGCCGTCTCAGGGAAACTCTTCGGGACCTCGTGAGGCCTCCTCGGGTTTTCTGGGGCCGTCTTGCGGCCGTCTTGGGCCAACTTGGGCCTTCATAAGCCGCTCCCAGCGCTGAGGTGGAATTTTGTACGTACGGGAGGGGGTCCAGGGGGGGTCCGATATGGTAATGTTCGAACAGGAATATATCCCGCCTGCTCGGGCTCAAATTTCAAGTATCATCTGGCTGTGAACGGTGAAGCCGGACAAATCAGCACGATTTGTTCTCCATGCGGATGAATGATACAGCGACTCGCGTAGTTGCCATGCTGTCCCACCAACTGTTGGCCCCCGACTGCAAGGAAGCGCCTGCCTTCGGCAAATCCACAGGATCGTCTCCTGTCTCATCTGGAACTTTCATGCAGCGCGGACGTATGACCTTCCCTGACCCAAGCAGACAGTAGGAGAGAGAAGCTGAGAGAGAAAAAGAAAGACACAGAGCTAAATGAATACATGGAGATGCGAAAACGGGCAGCGTGGATCGAGAGAGCGCAAGTGCAAAGGCATCACCAAATCTCGCCCCCGCCGCACGTTGCATCATGTTTGCAAACATCGGTCGGCAGGCTAGAAGATGGAGATGCTTCCGTCGAAGGAAAAAAAAACTGCAGGCGAACGAAGAAAATCATGTCCCCGACGAAAAAAGTTGGCAGGGCGAACAGGGAATTGCTCGGGCGAACGAGGAAATTCTTCATGGACGAACGAGGATATTGCTGTACGTGCCTTGAGGAAACCTCCCAACGGATCGAGATGCTGATGAGACTGGATGAACGCCTGATCCCGTCGCTGCCGCCGTAAACCTCCCGCCCATCAGGGACAACCGGCCCTGTGAACACAATCGTTTCTCCGACACCCCTCCCCCTTGAAGTTCCCATATCTCGATACACAACGGAGCTATGGATAAGTCAAGGAAGTGGTTCGCCCCGAGCGTGCCCCGTGAGCCCAAATGAAACACCTGAATACAAAACGCCTGCTCGAATTTCGAACAAGAACGACCCATGGCGAGAGAGTCTCGGTCACCCCGAGTTTTCAGTTTTAGGGCGGGGGGCATTGATATCGGCAGCGGGACTCGCAAGCATCTGGTAAATTCGCGAAGGAAACGTTAACACGACAATCAAAAATCAAAGCGGCAACTCGATGATGACGACAACGACGCCAAATAGAAACCATACACACGATTACTCAGTAAAGCTACGCCATGAGAGCAGCTGCAACTACCAACCCGTTAGTGCGCAGCAGGCGCAAGCACGCCCGCTCGCCCACTCGCCCGCCCAACCGCCTACCTGCCCGCCCGCGCGCCCGCGCGCCCGCCCGCCTGCTGACTCTCGTCAGGTGGCGACGCAGGGAGGCGAAACGAAGCCGTCGTTGTCTATCCGTCACAGGGGGCGAAGAACGAATACCGTTCTACTCGACTCAGCACGTGGCAACGCAGGGGGCGTAAACACATTGTTCTACTCGTCACGTGTCAACGCACGGAGGGGCGAAACCAACAATATTCGTATGCGTTCCACAAGGACGACAACGAGAAAATGGTTCGGCGACGACGACGACGACGACGACGACGACGACGACGAAGATGATGAAGAATGACGATGACGACGACGGCGACGACGACGACGACGACGACGACGACGACGACGACGACGACGACGACGACGGCGGCGGCGGCGGCGGCGGCGGCGACGACGACGACGACCACACCCGCACCCTAGCTCGCGCGCCCGCCCGCCCGCCCGCTCACCCGCCCCCCCGCGCGCTCGTTCGTTCACCAGCCCACACGCCCCTCAGCTCGCCCGTCCGGTCGCCCGTCCGATCGCCCGTTCGCCCGGTTGTGGGCGGGCGAGCGGGCGGGCGTCGCCCCAGAGTGGAGGACCCCTTCTCTGGGCCCCAAAACCTGCAAATCCCTGAAGAAAATCCATGATTTGGGCCTCTGGGGCCTCTTGGGGGTCTAAGAGGGCATCAAGACGACTCAAGATGGCATCAGTACGGGCCACGACGGCCCCAAGACAGCCCAAGATGGCCCCAAGAGGGCCCAAAAAGCCCCCAAGACGGCCCAAGAGGGCCCCAAGAGGACCCCCACGAGCGCCACCAGAGGCCAAAACCATTGATTTTCCGTTGGATTTAGGATTTTAGCGTTCTCCCATTTTTCTCTTCTCAGAAGCCCGTCACGGCCCAAGCAGCCTCCAAAGTGGCCCCAGGACGGCCCCAAAGGCCCCCAAGAGGGGCACAAGAAGGCCCCTATATGGCCCAAAGAAGCCCCAAGACGGTCCAAGAGGCCAAAGACAGCCCAAAAGGACCCCAAGAGAGCCCCAAGGCGGCCCGGACAGGCATCCAAAACGGCTTCCAGAGAGGCCAGACGGCGCAAAAGCGCCCCAAGACTACACAAGAGGCCCAAGAAGCCCCCAAGAGGCTCCAAGAAGCACTAAAGAAGCCCCCGAGAGGCCCCCAGGGGCCCCCAAGAGGCCTCCAAAAGGCTCCCAAGAGGTCCCCAGGAGTCCCCACAGCGACTGGATGGTACGTGCTCTGGACGTGCACCCCGCGAAGCGAGAGGCATCATGCCGGGGAAATCTGGCAGAACGAGACAGGGCTGAGGAAGCAAGAGAAAGAGCGGGAGGGGTGACGGCCGCCGCTCTCTGGACAGCAGCATGATGAAGGCGGCAGAGGAAGGAAGCCACACAACTAAGCATTGGCAGCGAACGCGGCGGCTCCTCGGCGACATACGGGATTTGATCTTGGAGCCCACCGTCAGCCCCATAGAGCAGTGTCCAATCGACGCAGAAGGAAAGCATGACGATTCGCAGCAGGCAGCTTCGCTGCTCGACGTGAGCTGGGAGAGGGCTTTGAGCCATGTGCTCATTGCATAGAGAATTGGAAGTGCTACTGAGCGGCGCATCCGACACTATGCCGACAGATGCATTCAAAGAACGTTCAGCGTGTCGAGCGTCTTCTGTGGCCCAGAAGATTGACAATCAGGATTGCAGTCTGGGGCCCCAGCTGATCCCATGAGTGCCCAGCATACCTTCACGCACTTTTCAGAATTAAACCTAGCAAAAAAAATGGTCGCAGTCCGTCCTGTGGTGGGGGTCAGGTTGGGGCAAAACTGGTCGATGGCTGGGATGGGAGCTGGGGCGGGCAAAACCCCTTGGCACAATCACTCTGCAGATCGCACCATCATCTTTAGACGCGTACTGCTCCATCGTTGGAGATGGAATGGTGACAAAGCTACTTCTGGATGAGCTCACGGCGGTTGAAATGGTCAGCGATTGCCAGCTCGAATTATATGAGGCTCATGAGTCGAGGAGCTACCTATGATTGGCAAACCGCCACCGCAGACAACATCGCTGGGGGGTAACTTAAACTGGCCGCAGTTTGACTTCTGGTGGCTGCTGACATGGTCGCGCTGGAAATGCTGCTGCTTACTCTCCCGTAAGTGAATCGACCGTAGTTGAAAACGGAAAAGGCTGCGAAACGCCCGCTGAATCAACACACATCGGATGGCTCTGTAATGGTGGCTGACGGATTTCCAACGGAACCGCCACCAATAGAACCCAATGCGGTTCAATGATGAGCACGCTGGGCCCAACGCTCACAGAATCAACACGAGGGCCTCACTGACTTACATGACGGTGGTTCCGCCAGTGGAGGCCACTGCAGCTGAGATGGGACCCTTGCTTGTTATATTCATGGCGATTGGCCCAACAAATGTCTAGGGCTAAGTTTGCGACTGAGCTCTTGCTGGCTGAGCCCGAACGAGTGGACCGTCCTCCCCGTCCCTCTCCTCTTGTGTTAATCATTTTTACGCTTAGTTCTCCTCCTCCTACTCCTCCTCCTGTTCCTCGTGTTTGCCCTCCTCCTACTGCTCCTCATACTCGTCCCAGTCCTGATCCTCACTCTCCATCGTGCCAGCCAGTCCCAGCCCGACTCCAGCGAATATGCGACTGCACCCGCTGCAGCGCAGGATGAACCTCTTTCCTCCCTCCCCCCTCCCTCGTCCCCTCCTCCTCCACCCCTCACTTCCCCAGCCGTTATTGGCCCAGGCCGCGCAACAGCGAGCGACAGCCCTCTTGCTCAAACTGGCTCGGCACGCTCCCTCCGGCCTGCAGCTGCACGACCCGCTCGCTCTGCTCGAGGGGATGGTGCGGGAGATGCGCGGGAGGTGCGCGCCCGCCCAGGCTCTGATTGCCGCGATGGGCATCGCTCCGCTGCGGATCGCCTGGCGCGCCGCCATGGGGCGCGCGCTTCGGCAGACGGGGCCATCTTCAAGCTGCCCGACGAAGCGGCCCGCCTCAACAGGATGATGGCCAAGCTCTCGCAGGCGCGGGGGGGGCACCTGGTGCGGCGGACGCGGCCATCAGCAAGCTGCTGGCCGCGGCGCCAGCCTTGGCCGCACCGCTAGCGGGGCAGCCGCCAGACTACCTCGAGGTCCTCAGGCGCAACACGGCGCTGCACTCGGCTGCCAAGCTTGACTGCGTCACGGCCGCCCCTCTCGTCTTCCGCAGCGCGCAGCGCGCAGCGCCGTGGGAAGCCTGGTGGGTGGCCTGCGACACCGTTCCAGCAGGTGGAAGCGGCGCTCGCCATGCTGGAGCTGGCGCCAAGTGCCTGGGGGGCAGCTTGAGGCACCCATCAACCCCACCGTGCACTGCACTACACCGACATGGTCAGCCACGATGGCTCTCCCTCCTCCTTCTCCTCCTCCTCCTCCTCGCCCTCCTCGCCTTCGGCGGATCGCGAGCACGGCTCCAAGCTACGCGCGCAGGGGGGGCAGTGGGCAGGTCTCTCAGGCGTCCCATAGCGGGGCCCCACGCCTCCCTGGTGGACGGCCCTGCGGGCGATGCCGGCCCCGCGGACGACGACTGTGACGTGGAGGCCGAGCACGGAGACGCCATCTGCACCGCGGGAGCAAGTGGCTATCGGAGACGCTCTCCGCCGCAGCTCGGCGGCCGCAAGAGGGGCGTGCGCGGTCGGGCGGCCATCCGTCCAGCGTCAGTGCCGACCCCAGCTCCCCACGACGTCGTGGCGACCAGCCCATGCAGGTGCTTTTACCGCGGGCTGCGAGCAGACGTAGAGGCTGCCCCTGTCGTGCGCTTCGTGCGGTTCCTGCACCTCCCCGCGGGCATCGTCGCCGTCGAGGCCCGCGTCGAGCCGTGCAGGACTCTTCTGCGCGTGTGCGCGGTCCATGATGGAAATCGCCTCCACCCTGAGTTGCCCTGGTGAGCAACACTCAATACGCGGCGTGCTCGAACGGAGCTCGACACGTAGACCGCAAACGGAAGTCTCGCGCGATACGTGTGCCAAAACGTGGGTCAACAGGTGCCGAGCCATCACGCAGCGTGTTGACACGGACGTCCTGAACACCGTACGTGTTGCGTTTCAACATGGGCGCATCAGGGCAGCTACGTGCATGTCGGGCGTGTCCCCCTACAGGGGGGTTTTCGACGAGAAAAAAAACCAAAAAAGTCTGGGGACTGTTTTTTGAATCTCTTTTTACCTTGTTGAAGTATTTTTGGGGTATTCTTCATTTTCGTCGAAAATCCCCCTGTAGGGGGACAGGCCCGACTGAAAGCTGCGTCTCCACCCCTCACCCGGACTCGTCCCTGGGCTGCGGCGGACAATCGCAGGCCAGGCCGCGCTCGCGAGCTCATGCCAACGCGCGCTCGCGCTCGCCCGCGCCTGCCCGCAGCGGGGCCCTCCCCCATGCACGCCCTCCTCCCCTGAGCCCTCCACGCGTCGCGGGAAAACATCTCCTCCTCCTCCTCCTCCTCCTCCTCCTCCTCCTCCTCCTCCTCCTCCATCCCTTGTCGAAACCCCAAACGTGCCGGTAGGGCGGGGCGGGCGTTTCGCCTGGAACTTACCCACCACTTGGGATCCTGAAGCTGGAAGAGTGCGACCAGCTCCACGGCTGGAGCGCATGTTGTTTTCGAAAATGATGCTCTCGCATTTGCGCCCCATACACTCGCATTAAAAGCTTGCAGCAGCTGCAAGGATGGAAGCCGAGTCGTTATCTTAACTCGCTTTAGAAGGTTGTAACAGCTTGAAGAATGGAGCACGGGTCGCTTTCAAAATGGCATTCCCGCCTCAACGCTGCACACATTCGCCTTAAAATGTTAAACTGCTACTTGGATGGACCGCAGGCCTATTTCAAAATATTGCTCTCGCCTTTGCGCGGCGCACGCTCGTCTTAAAAAGCATGCAACCGTTACAAGGATGGCGTGCAAGGTGTTCCAACTAAAAGACGGCGTTCTCGCCCCAGCGCCGCGCACACCCGCTTTCAAATGCTGCAACAGCCTTGAACAGTCTGCAATCGTGTGAGGGGTGGAGAGCGGTTCCTTTTCAAAGTGGTGCTCTCGCCTTGGCGCCGCGCAATGTGCTCCAAAATCTCGCAACCGCCAAAGGGCTTGTGCACGCGTCATGTTCGAAATGGAGCTCTCGCCTCGGCGCCGCGCATATTCGCTTTCTGAATGCGGCCGCCAGACGGGTAGAGAACTGCTCGACTTTCAAGTAGGGCTCTCGCACGAAATTTCGTCCATTCGAAACCCATAACGTCAACACATGCAGCATTGCGCGGATCCAGGGCGGCGCGTTTTTCAAAGTGGAGTTTTCGCCCGATGCTTCCCCGAAGTTCGTGGCCACAGGCGCAAAGTTGTGCAACAGTCCCACGGACAGGAGGTGGTCCTTCTTGAAAGGGGGGATCTCGCTAGACACCCCGCCGCATTGTAGCCTATGGCGTTGCTGATTACGCGCGCAAAGATGCAAGGCAAATCCTTATCAAAGGGGGGGCCCTCGCCAAAATGGCATGCCCGCCTGTGGTGATGTTCCAAGGGCGCGCTTCTTGCAGTGAAAAAGAAACCTTGCAGGAACGTGTGAGGAGAGGACTTGTGGTGCGAGGGTGTCTTGCAGCATCGCTGATGCATCTGGGTTTACTGTGGTCCTCCTCATCCTCCTCCTTTTCCTCCTCCTCCTCATCCTCCTCCACCTCCCCGCGACCATTGGCCGCCGCGTCTCGAGGTCCGCGCCCCCCGCGAGCGCCCTCTGGATGCCAGCAACGTTTCCCTCGGAGCTGGCCTGGTAGAGGGTGTGCGTGCGAGAGCGAGAGAGAGAGAGAGAAAGAGAGAGAAAGAGAGAGAGAGGGGGAAAACAAAAAAACACGGAGAGAGGGACAGAGAGAGAGCAGTACAGAGAGGACGATAGAAACATTTACGAAAAAATGATCGGTTGATGTTCCCCAAGCAAACATTGTGCTTAGAGGCTCTCATTTCTGCTCAAAAGACCTAGGCCTGTCTGCCGCTTTAGCGGCTGTGTTGCCGCCGTCGCCGCCCCGTCGCCGCCTCGTCGCCGCACGTTTTCTGGGCCCGTCTGCCGCTCTGGCGGCTGTGTTGCAGCCGTCGCCGCCCCGTTGCCGCCTCGTCGCCGTCTTTCATTTAGGCTTGTCTGCCGCTCTGGCGGCTGTGTTGCCGCCGTCGCCGCCCCTTCGCCGCCTCATCGCCGCCCTTCGTCTGGGCCTGTCTGCCGCTCTGGCGGCTATGTTGCCGCCGTCGCCGCCCCGTCGCCGCCTCGTCGCCGCCCGCCGCCCGGGTCCGTCAGCCAGTGTGGCAGCTATGTTGCCGCCGTCGCCGCCCTGTCGCAGCCTCGTCGCCGCCCGTCGTGTGGGTCCGTCAGCCAGTCTGGCGGCTACGCCGTCGCCGCCCCCGTCGCTGCCCTGTCGAAGCGCAAAACATAGGTTCCCCTTTTTCCAAAAAGAGATTCGGCTGTACCACACCACTCCCCACGGGATTATCCCACCTCCCTGGGGTAGTACGATTTGCATATGGTCTTGCCTCGTCGCCCATTTGAACGATGACCTCATATCACGCCAGCCAAACCCTTGACCGCCCCCCAGCCACCCCTCACCTTTACAACTAAAACCAGGCGCGCACATTCGTTAATCCAAAATCATCCATGCTGAAACGAAAAATGTTTCCAGCGTCGCGCGCGCATGCCAGAATCATTGACGAAAACTGAAGTGTCGTACGGCTTTCGGGATCAAAGAAACATTATTCAAACCATGATTTGCAATATGGTCGTTCGAACAATATGCGCTGGTTTGCGAATTCTTACGATACCATTGTTGTTTTACACACGCATCAAATCCGACGCGCTCGCATGTCGAAATCCTTCGAAATCCCTTGCGCGCGTGCCGGGGGGAGGGGAGAGGCACGGTCCCTGTCAAAGCATACCATGCGGGCCACTCAAGCCCGTCGGCCGCGCGCATGTCGAAATCTTTCCAAAACCTTCATCACCGGCACGTGGACACCATCATCGTCATCGGCGCAATCAGCGTCGGAATCGTCAATGGCCGTGCCGTCGTCACTGCCACCATCGCCACGAACATCGTTACCATCATCATCATCGTGTCTGCTGTTGTCGACGTCGCCATGATACAACGCCCGCCCGAACCACCGACTCGCACTTAAGTACCCGCACGTTAGCGCGGCCTACGACACGCGCTGGGGAACCCCCAGCGGTCAGCGCCAACGCGGCCGCGTCGGTCGCGCCAGACTGGCTGGCCACTCTGCGCGCGAGCCTGCGCTTGCTAGCGCGGCCGCAGCGATGCGCCAGCCAGCGCCAAGCAGTCATCGCAGTTGCCGCCACATGTGTTTTGCAAACCAAACTACAGGTGGGAGGGTGATGAGGATGATTGCGCGAGCATTGGAATTGACAACTACAAGCTCGGCAGGGCAAATTGCACCACATACAGCGTACCACAACTATTGCACCACATAGATGGCGCCACACAGAGTGCACCACGTAGATTTCACAGAACTCAGAGTGCACGACATAGATTGCACCACATGGTTTGCACATCGTAAGTAAGTCGCTAGAAACGCACTGACTGGGATCCACGGTGGCTAACATCTATGTGTTAGTTTCTGTTCGCAGCGAGTTGTCCACTCCACTGCCCGCTCAAACATCCCACCCACCCACCCGCAACTGAATTTGCAAACCTCATGCGGCGGCGATTGCGATGAGTGCTTGGCGCTGGTTGGTGCATCTCTGCGACCGCGCCAGCCCAGACATGTGCGCGCAACGGCCAGGTAGTTTGGCGCGACCGACGAGGCCGCGGTGGTGCTAACCGCTGGGCGCATCCCAGCGGGCAGTGCGAGTCGGCGGCTTCGGCGGGCGCGGCATCATGGCAACGTCGACACTTGTAGACACGAGGACGATGATAGTGGCAAGGGCGGCGCCGATGCCGATCACGCCGACAACGAAAACGGCGTCTTCGCGTCGGTGATGAACGAACGTTGTGGGAGGAATTCGACATTCGCGCGCGGCAGACGCGCGAGAGTGGCTCGCATGGCATTCTTTGACCCGGATCGTGCCACCCCAGCATGCGCGCAAGGGCGTTCGAACGATTTGGCCATGCGCGCGCGAAGCCCGCTTGGTAGCATTAAATGGAAATGTTGGAAAAAAACAAATGGCTTTCTTAAGAACTCGCAAGAGCGCGCGCGCACGCTTTTGTTGAAAATCCGTGTTGCGAAACTCTGTGTGTTTGTATGTTTTTGAGACAGTCGATTTTGAAATCCTTCTGAAACCGAAGGTTTTGAAGGATTCCGGCATGCGCGCGCGACGACGCGCGCGTGCGCACGTCGTCCCATTTATTGCAAGGGATTCTCGCGACGGCACGCGCGTAAGGGCGTTCGAACGATTTGGCCATGCGCGCGCGATGCCCGCTTGGTAGCATTAAATGAAAAGGTTGAAAACAAATGGCTTTCTTAAGAACTCGCAAGAGCGCGCGCGCACGCTTTTGTTGAAAATCCGTGTTGAGAAACTCTGCGTGTTTGTATGTTTTTTGGACACTCGATTTTGAAATCCTTCTGAAACCGAAGGTTCTGAAGAATTATGGCATGCGCGCGCGACGACGCGCGCGTGTGCACTTCATCCCTTTTTTTTGCGAGGGAACCGAGGGGGGTCGGTACCGGTTTGGCGGGGATAACATGAATTCACGGGCAGGATGGACATTAGGTCAGAACCATCTGTGTTCTACACTGTCTCCCGGCGAGTGGATAAGTCCGGGGGGAGGGTGGTAGTCCGGGAAGGAGAATGAATATACGAATACTGCTATACATATATATATATATAGATATAGATATATATATATATATACATTCACATATGCGCGCGTAGGCCTGCACTGTCGACTTTTTGCGCGGTTCCGGCGAGAGCGGGGAGCGCGAGGGCTTGGGGGTCCCTCTGGGGCCCCAGATCTGGCCAGAGAATCGGTGTCTTCCGCCGAAGCGCTGGCCACGGCAGCCCTACTCTGACTTCAACTCGACCGGAGATCTGGCCGACGCTCATATCTAGATATCTATCGATATACTCCAGATTTCGTAATAAAAGGGAGGGGGTCTGGACCTTCCAAGACAAGCCATTTCAGACCTCCCCCGTGGGAGAACCCTCCAAAACATCGTCCCCAGACCCCCCCGGCCCTCCAAGATAGCCTGAAGAGACCCCCCCCCGAAATGAGACCCCCCTCCCTTTATTACGAAATCTGGAGTACACAGACACACACAGACACCCCAGAAACATCGCGCGCTTCGCGCGCGCTCCAGTTCTACTTGCCATGTGGCCAAGCGTATAGCGCGTCAGAGAGGCCGTGTCCGAGGCCGTGTCCGGACGATCGGGTCCCTGGCCTGGAAGCCCATTAGTTGGTGTCTGAAGTCGCACTGACGCTTGGTATTCGCGGTAGTCCTGGGCCAGCCCTGGGAAATGGTGCAACTCTCTTCGGGACCATGTGAGCCTCCGAGGCGATCTTGGAGCCACAATGTAGCAACAAATGAATCCGGGGAAAAAAAGAAAACACGTTGGGGCTCCTCTTGGTTTTCACTGATTTGGCCCTCTTGGAAACCCTTTTGGGGCACTCGGCGCGGCTTCTGAGGGCCTCGTTGTGCAAAGAGACACTTCCTGGGCCAGCCTGGGAGCCTCCTGGGACCGTCGTGGGACCCTCTTGCAAGTTCTGCACAGCTCCGAGAGTTTCCTGAGGGGAGCTCGGAGGGAGGAGGGGGAGGAGGAGGAGGAGGAGGAGGAGGAGGAGGAGGAGGAGGAGGAGGAGGAGGAGGAGGAGGAGGAGAGAGTGGGGAGGAGAAGGAGAAAGGGGAGGAGGAGGGAGTGGGGAGGAGGAGGACAAGGAAGGAGCTGGAAGGAGGGAGGAGGAGGAGGAGGAGGTAGGAATGAGGAAAGAGGGAGGGGGAGTGAGAACGGGAGGAGAGAGACGGAGGATGGTGGAGGAAGGAGAAAGCAGCAGGAAATGAAAGAGAGCACGAGAGTGAGGGAAGGGGAAAACTGGAAGCAGTGGAGAGGAGGGAGGGGTGGGGGAGGGGGGAGGAGGCAGGAAGAGGAAGAAGAAATAGGATGAGGAGGAATGATGGGGAGAGCGTTTGTCTACTTAGTGGTTGTATACCTTATGGGACGGAGGTGTCTTCAATTTGAGGCGTGCAAGAAGTATCTTGTAGTCTCTACGGAAGCCGCTCGGGGGACTCACGATGGCCACTTGGGCGGCTACTGGGGGCCTCTTCGGGGCTTCCTGTCTCGGGGAACTCTGGGGGCCTCTTGGGGACCGCGGGAGTGCTCCAGGGGCCACCTTGGCACCGAAACAATCGGAGGGCCGCTTGGGGGGCGCTTGGGGTGCCTCTTTTGGGCCTCCTGGGGCCCTCTTGACGCGCTTGTGGGCCGTCTTGGGCGCCTCTTCGGCCGTGTTGGGGCCATCCTGGGTTTCTTAGGGCCCTCTCGGGGGCCTCTTCGGCAGCCTTGGGGGGCTCTTGGGGGCCTCTCGGACCCACCAGGAAGGCTGATGGGGCCACACAAATGCAGATGGCAAACATATATGCTTTCCAAAAGGAGTGGGGCCACTTTTGCCGCTCGGGGCCCTTGAGGGGGAGGGTGGTCTCTTGGAGCCGTCTTGGGGCGTCTTGGGGGCCGTCCGGAACTTCTACCGAGGATCCCGGGGCTTCGGGGAAGGCTCCCGGGTGGCTCGGGGGACGCCCAGGGGAGGCTCAGGGTAGGGAGGGGGCCCTTAGTATACCCTGGGGGCCCCTGCAGGTCTTTGGCTCCGGGACCCCCAGGGCTGGGCTTCCGTAAATGATATGATATAAAACAGCAAGCAAGCAGACATCCAGGGGGAAATGCACAAGCGCGACAAACGGCGCCTTCAATAGAGCCGAATTCATGAGCACCTGCTCGTCGCTGCCGGGGCCTGGCAGCGGCGCAAAGCTGGAAAGGCGCGGTGCTGCAGATCTGCAGCGGATGGCCGATCAGGGAAGAGGTGAGGCACTATCCCCGAAGGCTCCTTCGTTCTGCATTGCTTTTCCTCGCGGTCTCCTCAGACTCCTAGGCATTTGCGAAGAACTCTGCGTCAGCGCCGTGCGCGCAAAATGAAAGCTGCGGAAGCTGTCCCACGCAAGATCCATCCAAGAGGCCACAGCAAGACACAGACCACAGACTTGTGTCGGAGGCGGGGGCAGACTGCAAAGCCTCACCAGGCAGCTGTCGCAAGTGGAAGATGGGTAGGACAGGTTGCGAGTTTAGGCAACATTTGTAATCATACGGGACCGTACTGACAAAAGAAACAAATATCTCTCGGCGTCGCGGTTGACAATACAAGATCTATAATATCATAATAAGTTGGTGCTGAACATACTGGAGCATTCAATACAAGCAGACAGTTGCGACGATATTATTCGGCGCATTGACGATTCGTTCGCACAGACGCAATCCAAACAGAGGGAAACTGAACCCATCGGGACCCCATCGCAAAGCCAATACGGCTGCTACTGCCACGGCTGCTGGTATTACTTCGTCTGCTGACAACTTGCGACAGTGACGCGGAACTAACACGCTATGACATCGCTATCGCGAAGTGTCATCACGCAGGAAAAGGAATGGACCGAAACAGGCGCGCGCGCGCGCGCGCACACATACACGCGGCAGCGCGGCGTAGTAAGTCAAGCGAAGAGGTGTGCGCGGCAGGCCCAGGTCACGCGGCGCGGGGACACACTTTGAGCGATGCATGCGGGGCAAGAAAGCCATTCGGCCGATCAGTGGCACCCCCAGCTAGATCGAAGCGGGGTAAAAGCACGAGGACTCACACGGTGCAGGACAGGCCTCACGCCGGCCAGAGTTAGGACGACAGGGGGACACACACACACACACAAGCACGCACGCACGCACGCACGCACGCACGCACGCACGCACGCACGCACGCACGCACGCACACACACACACACACACACTCTCTCACACATATATATATATATATATAGATTCCCATCTTAATTATCTCATACCAAGAAACTGACACAGATGGGCAGCACCACCCCCCCCCCCCAATAGAATGCGGCGGGCCTTGAGGCCCCAGGGGTCCCTGAGGCTTTCTCTGGTCCCCCGCTCTGGCCGCCACGTGGCCCTCCCAGACCTCGCGGAGCCCCCACTTGGGCCGCCACTTGGGCCTCCCGGACCTCGCGGAGCGGCCCAAGATCGCTCACGGTGACCTCGACACAGCCCCGAATGCCACCAAGAGAGCCCCCCGAGGGCTTCAGAGGCCCCCGAGCACGCCCCCGAGAGACCGAAATGTTTCAAAAACGCATGGGAAATCGCCAATGTTCGCCCTCTCGCGTCCACAACTCCGATGAACCCCCAAGGCTTCACAACGGCCCCCAAGAGGCCCTCCGACAGGCAGAGGCCCCAAGTTGTCCCCGAAAAGCCCAAAGAAGCCCTAAAGAAGCCCCAAATAAGCCCCAAGACGCTCCCAAGAGCCACCCAGAGGTCCCCAACGGCCCCCCCAAAGGCCGCCAGAGGCTCCCCCATGAGGGCCCCAAAAGGCCCGCAAGAGGGCCCAAAGGCTTGCAACACCCCTCCCCGCAGCCCCCCGTCACCTTCCCAACCCCCACTCCCCGCACCTCCGTTCGGCTTCCGAGCCCTCAATACCCGCTTAGAGGCCACCCAAAAGGCCCCCACGAGGCCCCCAACACGCGCCAGGGCCCCGACGAAGCCCCGAGAGGCTCCGAGAGACTCCTAGCAACGTTGCCGCGCCTCCCCCTCTTAGAGACCCCCGCCATCTTCCCGACCCTCTACACCCCACGCCTTGCCTTCCCAACCCCCTGCACCCCGGCCCCACACCTCCGACAAGCTTTCAAACCCTCTGTCTCCCAGCTGCGAGAGTATCCACTCCTTCGCGCAGGGCATTATCGTGAGCGCGCAGGTTGCGTGCGTGTCTGCGTAGCTCGGCACATCGAGACCAACCAGCGGTTTGCACGTGAGTGTCGTTCCCTACTATTGCTTACTAACCGTCATTCACACCATGCTCTGAAGTCCTTGCTCCCTGTTCCATCATGCCCTGACCCCCGATGAGCTCAACCACGTCCTGGTCGATCTGCCCAAGGCCCGTCAAACCGAATCTGAAAAGATGCCCAGCCTTCAAAAATCAAATCCTGTCCTCCGATTCCTCACCATCCTCATGTTCATCGATTCGTCGTCACCACCGTCCATCATCAACCATTGCCATCAGCCCCATCACCCAGCATATCCAACAAGCGTCAATCATATGTTTCACAAAATTCTGAATCAACTGAATCGTTAACAATATCGACATCGTCGCCTCGTTGTCGACGTCGCCGTCGTCATCATCATCAGCAGCAGCACCATCAGCATCAGCATCATCAGCATCATCATCAGCAGCCCAATAATCATCATCATTATCAGCAGCAGCATCATCACCATCTCACCATCATCATCACCACCATCACCATTATCATCAGCATCCGCAGCAGCAGCAGCAGCAGCAGTCGCAGCAGCAACATCAACAGCATCAATATCACCACGACCATACTCATCATCACACCCAGCATCATCATCATCATCATCAGCATCATCATCATCAACAGCAGCAGCATCATCACCATGATCGTCCACCTCTTCCTCCTCCTCCTCGTCCGTCGTCGTCGGTGGCGTCGTCGTCGCACATCATCGTCCTCGTCGTCATCATCACCACCGTCGTCATCACCATCGTCATCATCATCATCACCATCATCACTACCATCATCATAATCATCATCATTATCATCATCAGCATCATCATCATCATCATGACCAGCACCACCATCATCAGCATCATCATAAGAATCCCACTCCTCCTCCTTCTCACCCGCGACCCGATACACGCGCGCGCGGCAACCGTCGGGAAAACGCGGCGGGCGGTACTCTCAGGCCCGAGGCATGGACGGGCGTCGCACCCGTCGGGCAGCCTCCGGGTGCGGGGCGAACAGGGAAAGAAGGACAGGGGGAGAGATCGCAAAAAGGAGCGACCGAGGCTCGGACTAAGTGCGTCGCTCAGGCCCCGAAGGCGTGAGTTGCGGTTGCAGGGCAGTCCGCGCCCGTCTTGTGAGTCGGGGCGGCGCGGGCAGGGACGAGCGGGCAGTCCGCGTTCGTCTTGTTAGTCGGGGTGGCGTCTGTGGAGGAGGAGGGAGGAAGAGGATGAGGAGGAGGAGGAGGAGGAAGAGAAGGAGGAGGAGGAGGGGGAGGAGGACAAGCTAGGTGCGCTCGCGTCATATCTGACGTCCTACCCCTCCCTCCCATCCCTTACCATGGCGCTGATTTTCTCTATCCGCGGACGCGTGTCGTAGCGGACCTGTGGCTCCGCGCGCGCGTGCGCAGTGGGTGGTGGTGCGCGTGCGTGCGTGCGTGCGTGTGTGCGCGTGGTGGTGGTGGTGGTGGTGGTGGTGGTGGTGGTGGTGGTGGTGGTGGTGGGTGGTGGTGGTGGGTGGTGGTGGTGGTGGTGGTGGTGGTGGTGGTGGTGGTGGTGGTGGTGGTGGTGGTGGTGGTGGTGGTGGTGGTGGTGGTGGTGGTGGTGGTGGTGGTGGTGGTGGTGGTGGTGGTGGTGGTGGTGGTGGTGGTGGTGGTGGTGGTGGTGGTGGTGGTGGTGGTGGTGGTGGTGGTGGTGGGTGGTGGTGGTGGTGGTGGTGGTGGTGGTGGTGGTGCGGCGCGGTGGTGGCGGGCGGATGGGCGCGCGAGAAAGAGGCCCGCGCTGGGGCGAGAACGCCATCCTGAACGACGGAGGCCAAACACCGATCCGAAAATGAGGCCCACGCTGCAGCGGGAGCACGATTCGGAACGATTCGGGAGCAGAAATGAAGCCGGCGCCTCAGCGAGAGCAGCATTTTGAAAAAAAACGCAGGCGAAAACCCAACTCCCGGGAATCCTGTGTGCAAAAAAACAATACGCGGGGGGGTCGGCCACTCCCAGCACGCCATCAGGGGAAAGGGGAGAGTAGTATTCATATTGAGTAATTGTGGAGGAGGAAGGGGAGGAGGAGGAAGAGCAGCAGGAGGGGGGAAGAGGATGGATGGATGGATGGATGGACGGATGGCACGCGCATCAAAGCTGTGACGGACAACAATCTTGGAAGCCAAAGACAAGCTTACGTCGATCTATCAGTCGTTCTGTCCCTGCCGCCCATGGCGAAGAGCAGCTGACGGGACAGGTCTCAAAGAAAACGGTGGTCCCTGCAGCCGTCCAGCGAGAAAGCGGCAAACCAACCAGACGCGTCCCATCTGTGAACGCTTCCGCTGGTCGTGCGGATGTCCGTCTTCGACGAGCCGCACGTCCAAACACGCCTGGCTGAGCTAAACCATTCTCGAAAAACGTGCCAGCCATTGGGCCACTATGGCGCTGGAGGTGGGATGACCACAACATTCAGGAAAAACGATAAAACCGGGACCACTGGGTTATAAGTTTGCCCTTCAGCTCACTGGCCCTTCTAATACTGAACTGCGCGGGGTCTCGTGAGGATCCGAGGGAACCGCAGCATCCAACCTAAATTCTTGAACTGGAGACAGTCTAATGCGAGCACTACTGTTTGCGACGAGGTCGAAGATGCAGACCGCGCACGCAAAATACCACATACAGTTTGATCCAGCTTCTGGGGAGGAGGATGAACACGAGGAGAAGGGAGAAGGAGCCCAGCATTGCGAGAAAATTATCCAAGCCTAACCACGGTGGCGCGGGGCGCGCGCGCCGCAGGACGGGCCGCTGAGGCTCGACTAGTTGACCTTCAGGTGAACGGCGTGGTTGCCGAAGTCGGCAAAGTCGTGGCTAAGGCGGTCAGGTATCTTGCTGGTGTTATTCCACGAAAACGTCGTGGAAGGAAGCACCGTCGGCATGGCCATCATCAGGGAAGACAGGCCGCAGTTGACCGGGGCGAACGAGAACGAAGATGCGCGGGGGCGCCGAGTCCGAATCCCCCGCCAACCCCAGCGACGAAGCAACAGCAACCACCGCACCGAAGCACGTCCGAGAAACCGCGAACTTGGGAAGACGCGAGGGCGCCATCCCCCTGGGGCTCTCGCGCAGCAAGCGGAGCGCGGAGCGCCGTGCGCGTGCGTTCCAGCTCCGAAGAGTCCATGGACAGCTATTCCATCACCGCTGCCTCTCTCGGCCTTGCCCCCTCCTCCCAAAGAACATCCCACATTGAAGGGGAACTGGGACACACAAATAAATAGACACAAATAAAAAGATTCCCCATATTTTCCCATATTTTCTGGGTTTCTGTCTTCCCCCCCACTTCCCATATTTTCCCATATTTTCCTGGGAGTCGACGATTAATTGTGTCTGTGTGTTTTTTCCCCTCCTGACACATGTCCAAAGCGAGCAACCGGAGGACCTCAAACCACTTGTCATCGGGGGCGCCGCTGGAGAGAGGCGGTCGGAGAGGGGCTGCATCAGCTGAGTCGTCGCGAAAGGGACGCACCGCTCCACCCAGTGGATTCTTCCGTCCAAGCGCTCGTCCTGACAGCGAGCACCAGGGCGCCACTGCTCGAAAGATTGAACACAATTCGATGGAGATCCTCGCTGTCGTTGCAGGCATGATTGGGGGCCGCGGACATAGACAGAGCAAGCGACTGGATACGATCGTCACATACTGGAGAACCATCGCGCAGATGGAGCAGGCCCATCACGGCGTTGGAGATGAACTGGCCGAATTCTTGCATTAGCGGAGGCCGGCGCGGGGCCCCTGTTGTTCGGATAGCAGGTAGTTGGCCGAGAGGAGACTGCTGCCGTCGGACTCGCCTTCGACCTCTTTAGGCGCTGGCGGGACTGGTGGGCCATGTTTTCCTCGGCCGGCGCAGGGACAGGAGCGAGAAGCCACCGCGCCGTGACCCCGTGCCCCATGCAACGCGAAGCAGGGAGCGGCCACCTTGACGGATTCGGCACGATCAGCGCGTTGACGATGTAGCGGCGCCGCGAGAGCGCTCACATGGCGGACAGCCGCTCTGCCTCGGGTGTCGCCTTCGAGTGTTTCCATGGCTGGCATGCGCCCATTGCGGCGCCGCGCAGTCCGGACCACGCCGCCTCGCAGATATCCCAGGCCCGTAACCAAGGTGAGCCAGGGCGTGAGGTCGGCAGGCACGGCGCTCGAGCACGAGGGTTGACTGGGCACGGCCAATCCAATGGAACAACTACGAAAGGGACGAACCAGTCGATCCGTTCGTCGATGTCCTTCCAGCACTCATCATCAGTCATGAAGAACGATTCGCCAGCCAACACTTCCAAGTTTTCGACCACTCGCCAAACATGATTACCACATGGCCAGGGCGTATTCATTGAAAGCAGTTCGTGCATCGCCTCACGGAGCGCGAGGGGGGGGTGAACAGCGCAGGGATCTCGGGCGAACATTGTGCCATGTCATCATCACGTTGCACGAGCAATGAAAGAAGAGATGCGCCATCATCGATGCAATTCTGGTGGGCCGACGGAGCGGCGGCTCCATGGGCACCGCCACTGGTCTCAAGATCCACAAACATGTCTCCTAGCGAGGGCGACACAATTGGGATGCTGGCAGTCGATGGCGGAGGAGCGCCAAAAGGGTGGACGCTCGGGATGAGAACGTCAGCCTCTCCAGCGCCAGGGAAGATAAGCCCGTTGAGCTGCTCGACGTGCTGACAGACCTCGGCGGTGACGTCACCATCAGACGGTAAAGGTCAATTGACCATAGGGTCTCCGCTCGCCCACTCGGGGAAGTGATGCGCGGTCAGAAGCGGGTGTGTGTGTGTGTGTGTCGTGACTGCTGGGTTGACCTTGATTGCGATTCGTCCACGCCCAAGCAATACGGCGCGTCGCGGCATCGCCCGACTCGCCCCCGCCCCGAATACGTCATGTCTGTGTCGGCTGGATAAGACAACCGCGGATCGTCGGGACAGCTGGCAGGATTCCTCCGGAGGTCGAGCTGCTGCGATCGTTGTCCAACGCATCGGCTCGTGAAAGATCGTCGCCTGGCTGCCTCGATTGGCTGACGGGCGGCAGCAGTTGCCCCGACGGCGCGACGCTACTGCCCTGGAAGAACTACTGCCTAGCAGGGGAGACATGCGCGCGGAATGGGCTTGCAAACAGCGCACGCCCAAGCTCCACCTAGCGCGAGCGACGGCCAAATTGCTCCTGCCAGACCCCTGGCCAGGCCAAGCATGTGCACGTTGAGATCTGGCACGCTCGCAGGTCTCAGAAGAAAGACACCAAGCCTCGCCGCATAAATATACATTATATATACATATACATATACGTTGCGCAAGCTGTTTGCACATGCGGGCGCCAGGGCCCGATGCAGCGTCGAAATGCGGAACGGGCACATCGCGCATGGGCACCCCGCATCCAGGGGGGCGGATCCTGAACCAGGAAGATCCGGAGAACGCAATAGGGAGACACCCACAAGCCCAACAGCGCGCGCGAAGCAGGAGCGCCTCTTCGGCGCGAAGAGCGCGATTGCGAGGTGCCGAGGTAGGCGAAGCACTTGAGGAGCTGGAAGAGTGCCGCTGGAGGACGCAGCACCGCCCGCAAGCAGGCGCGCCCGGACCAGGGCGGCGGAATCGCCGACGGCAGGAACGCCGCCTTGAGGGACCTCCTCCTTCTCCTCCTCCTCCTCCTCCTCCTCCTCCTCCTCCCCCTCCTCCTCCTCCTCCTCCTCCTCCTCCTTGTCCTGAGGGACGGGATCCGCACTGGGAGACTCGCGCGATCCCGAGCGACCCTGGAGGAGAGCTCGCGCGCCGCAGCTGGAATGAGAACGCGGCCAGAGCCAGGATGGGGGCCCACTGGCGGGTTCGCGACGGCGCGAGCACTGCCAGCGGCAGTGCTCGAGGACGGGTCCGCTGCAAGGCTGGGAGCATCGCCGCCATCTCCGGCCAATATCCACGCCCGCGCCCGGGGCGCACAGCGACCAGAATGGTAGTCGGGTTCCTCACTCCCCACGACCTCGCCT